AATGGCCCGAAACTCCCGAACGTCCTGGAGGCTCAGCGGTGTTCGTGCCGTCGAGTAGCCGTTTTTAGTACCATGCGCTCGACGACCTAGCACCGCTGAGGGAACAAAGGATCCAAGATGGCCGACCGCCGCATGGTCGGTAGTCGAACGACGGCCACCCAGGAGAGCCTCTAATTACCGATTGCAACATTGTTGCAATCGGTTAACTAGCGCCACACGCCTCTAAGTGTGTGGGCTATTAGGGGTATTGCGTTCGGTTCACGAACGGCCCTCCAAAGTGCCGTTCGTGAAACGAAAGAAAATCCCCATACAAACCGCCATTTGCATTCGGCAGATGGCAAATACAGGCAATTCAGACAATACATGTAGCATACAACATACATATCTCCCCAGACCTATAGGCAACCCTTAAAGATATAGTCTCTGGTTATAGTCCAAGTGGCTAGGTTTGCCACAATGCTCCCCCAGAACCAAGCCGGCATACACAGTCTGATCCTAACGGATCGGCTTGGGGATGTCCGGAGGAGCGCTCACAGATCACTTCTCAAGGTCTGTTTGTCTGGATAACCCGTCGGCGTTACCGTTTTGTTTCCCTGGGCGATAATGGATCGTAAAGTCAAAGGGCTGCAGCGCCAAACTCCAGCGCAGCAGCCTGGCATTGTCCCCAGCCACACGGTTTAGCCATACCAACGGGTTGTGATCTGTGAGCAAGGAAAAGGGTTGCCCATAGAGATATGGCTGTAACTTTTTCAGGGCCCACACCACGGCCAGGCATTCTTTTTCTATGGCGGCATAGCTCACTTCTCGGGGTAACAATTTCCGACTCAAATATGCTACGGGATGTTCTCCGCCATCTGCTCCGACCTGGCTCAGTACTGCTCCCAATCCAAACATGGAGGCGTCTGTGTGGACAAGAAAACGTTTAGTTGGATCAGGAGCAGCCAGTACAGGGGCATTGGTCAGAGCTGTCTTCAGTTGGTTGAATGCCTGTTCACACTCTGGGGCCCAGATGACCTGCCTGGGCAGGTTTTTCTTCGTTAAGTCAGTCAGGGGTTTGGCCAGGGCACTGTAATTGGGCACAAATTTTCTATAATACCCGGCGGTACCTAAAAAAGCAAGGACTTGGGTTTTGGTCCTAGGGGTAGGCCACTGGGCTACAGCTTCAATCTTTGCGGGCTTAGGCTTCTGTTGCCCGCTACCGACCCGGTGCCCTAAGTATTGGACCTCTGCCATCCCTATGTGGCATTTGCTTGGCTTCAAGGTAAGCCCTGCCTCCCGGATCCGATCTATTACAGCCCCTATATGTTGTAGGTGGTTTGACCAGGTCTGACTGTAGATGGCAATATCATCCAGGTATGCACACGCATAATCCTGGAACCCGTCCAGTAGCCGATCCACCATCCGCTGGAAGGTCGCGGGGGCGTTCTTCATCCCGAATGGCATGACTCGAAATTGGTACAAGCCAAACGGGGTGACAAACGCCGACTTGGGAATGGCGTCTTCGGCTAGTGGAATTTGCCAGTATCCCTTACAAAGATCTATTGTAGTGAGATACTGACCCCTGGCCATCCTATCTAGCAGTTCGTCTATCCGAGGCATCGGGTAGGCGTCCGACACGGTTTTGTCGTTCAACCTCCGGTAGTCCACGCAGAACCGGGTGGTACCGTCTTTCTTGGGAACCAGGACTACCGGCGATGCCCAGGGGCTATCGGAGTGTTCGATAACCCCCAACTGCAACATCTCTTCAATCTCCTTCCTCATATGTTCCCGCACGGATTCAGGAATCCGATATGGGGTCTGTCGCATGGGAAGCTGTCCCGGGGTTTCTACTCGGTGAGTGGCTAGTGGAGTGTACCCAGGTAAGTTAGAAAAGGTGGCACCCTTTGTCGCTATCAGTTCTTGTACCTGGGTACGCTCTTGAGGACTTAGCCGCTCCCCCAGCTGAACCCCCTGGGAGGGCTCCTTCTGCTCCTCCTGCTCTAACAGATCTGGAAGAGGCAAGTTCTCCTGATCTTCTGAGGCGGGCGTGCAAATAGCTGCCACGTCCTCAGTTCGCTCGTGGTAGGGTTTGAGCATGTTCACATGGAGCATGCGTCTCTTCCCTACTCCGGAGCATGGGCCGATCACATAGGTGGTATCGCATCTCTGCTCTACCACCTGGTATGGACCCTGCCAGACGGCCTGTATTTTATCGGTGCGGACCGGTTTGAGGATTAACACCTTCTGTCCCACTTGAAAACTACGGTCTCTGGCCCCTCTGTCATACCAACGACGCTGTCGTTGCTGGGCGGCTTGGAGGTTGGTGCGCACTGCCTGGGTTAATTCCTCCAGGCGATCTCGGAATGCCAGCACGTATGGTACAATAGGGGTCCCATCTGCGCTACTCTCTCCCTCCCAATGCTCTCTAATGAGATCCAACGGTCCCCGGACCCTTCTCCCAAATAACAGTTCAAATGGGGAGAAACCGGTAGATTCTTGGGGTACCTCTCTGTAAGCAAACAACAGATGGGGAAGGAATCGTTCCCAGTCCTTATGGGTCTCTTCGAATGTCCGAAGCATCTGTTTTAGGGTACCGTTGAATCTCTCACATAACCCGTTGGATTGAGGGTGGTAGGCTGAGTTAATGATTGGCTTAATGCCACATATCCTCCATAACTGCTGAGTAACCTCAGCCGTGAATTGTGTCCCCCTATCGGAGACCATTTCCTGTGGAAACCCTACTCGGGAGAATATTTTCATCAGGGCTTCGGCCACGGTCTCAGCGTGAATATTGGTTAAGGCAATCGCCTCGGGGTACCGGGTGGCGTAGTCCACCACGGTCAGTATATACCGCTTCCCAGAGGGGCTGGGTTTTGGTAGTGGCCCCACTATATCTACAGCTACACGGCTGAACGGTTCCTCAATTATAGGTAGGGGGGACAGTTTCGCCTTGTGGCGATCCCCTCTCTTGCCTACCCTCTGACACACATCACAGGAGGTACAATATTGCCTTACATCTTTAGAAATCCCGGGCCAAAAGAAAGCGTGCGTTAAGCGATACCGGGTCCGGGTCATCCCTAAATGGCCGGACAGAGGGATGTCATGGGCTATTCTCAGTAACTCAGGCCTATACTTCTGGGGTACTACCAGCTGCTTAGTTTGACAAGGTTTTTGTAATGTTTATTTCGTAAAGCTGGAGTGTGTTATTCCTGCACAGAACCCCATATTGTGTTCAGCTACATCTGCTGAGTATAATGATCCCCCTATTGTATGCCTTTGGAACTTTTCTGTAAAGCAACAGTGCCATATAAAAGACAAGGCTATTTCAGTTTCTATAGTTAGAATTTTCGTAGATGGATATGACGGGCCTATGTCTCATTTTAGGGTATTATAGCAGTGTGACTGTTCAAATAACCCCACAAAGGGCTTTCATTTGATAAAGCAGACACCCCAGGGTATCTTATATGGTGTATATTGTGCCTTAACTCGTCACCATTGTTTCACCAATTTATGTCAATGTTTGTGGTGAGGGGAAAATAAAAGGCATTTTTACATATATGTTGCATTTTTGCTGAGTATTTCTTACACTTGGTATGTACCACTGTCCAAGCCCCCCAAATTATGCTCAGCTAAGTCTTCTGAGTAAAACAATATGCCCAATGTATGACCTACACACTATTTTGTGAAGTTACAGTGCTGTAAAAGAGACGTGACAAGTTCAGGTTTTTAAGTGCGAATTTTCATGGAGGGTTTTGATGCGTTCGTGTCCCACTTTGGAGCACTTGAAGCAGGCTACATATTCCAGATACACCACAAAGCCATACCATTTCTTAAAGAAGACATCCCAGGGTATTTCAAAAGGCATATTTTGAACCTTAGCGTGGGATCATTTTTCCGCTAGCTTGTACCAAGTGCAGTGGTAATAAGCGTTTTTTTCTGCCTTTTTGACTCACAAAGTGAGTTTGCACAGTATATTTTGCAAACCTTATGTGTGCTACCGCTGTATAATACTTCATATGTTGCTCAGCTATGTTGGCTGAGTACAGGAATACCACGTATGTACCTTTGCCAGGTATATGTGGATGTTGAAGGGGCACATTTGGGACGCAGCCATTCATTTTTTTTCAATCTTTGAAGTTTTGCGCTGTGTCCATGTTCCAATTTGGAGATGTTGGTTGGTTATTCAAACTTCCCCACAAACACATACTATTTATTAAAGAATACACCCCGAGGTAATTCAAAAGGCATATTTTGAACCTTAGCGTGGAATCATTTTTTCTCTAGATTGTTCCAGGTGTAGTGGTAATAAGCATTTTCTAATGTATTTTTTTCTACTTTTTTAAACTTTTTTATTCTTTTATATGCTTACTAAATTTTTTAAACTTTCTTAAAACTTTTTTTTACACATTTAACATTTTTATAAACCGTTAACCCCGAACTAGCAGTAAGCAGCAATAACAGTAAATTCCCCAATTTCTCATAACTCTCACCCACCCCAGGTAGCAAAATATATAAGTTTAAAATATTTAAATTAATTAATGAAATAAATTGAACCCCTGAGGATTAAAAAATAAATAAAAGTTAACCCTAAGGGGTTAAAAAAAATACACCTGTTTTGGTTTAAATGTAAATTCACTTTGACTTCCAAGCAATTGTCACTTTAGTAAATCACTTACCGTTCATTGTGTACAGAGAGTATCTCAGCGCAGAGTGTGTCAGACTCCTACATCAGGGAGAGTACCCCAGCGCAGTCAGAGTGCGTCAGACTACTATATCAGAGAGAGTACCTCAGCACAGTCAGACTGCTATATCAGAGATAGTACCCCAGTGCAGTCAGAATGCGTCAGACTCCTATATCAGAGAGAGTATCCCAGCGCAGTCAGAGTGCGTCAGACTCCTATATCAGGCCGAGTACACCAGCGCAGTCAGAGTGCGTCAGACTCCTATATCAGAGAGAGTACCCCAGCACAGTCAGACTCCTATATCAGAGAGAGTACCTCAGTGCAGTCAGAATGCGTCAGACTCCTATATCAGAGAGAGTATCCCAGTGCAGTCAGAATGCGTCAGACTCCTATATCAGAGAGAGTACCTCAGTGCAGTCAGAATGCATCAGACTCCTATATCAGAAAGAGTATCCCAGCACAGTCAGACTCCTATATCAGAGAGAGTATCCCAGCGTAGTCAGAGTGCGTCAGACACCTATATCAGAGAGAGTACCCCAGCGCAGTCAGAATGCGTCAGACTCCTATATCAGAAAGAGTATCCCAGCACAGTCAGACTCCTATATCAGAGAGAGTACTCCAGCGCAGTCAGAGTGCATCAGACTCCTATATCAGGCCGAGTACACCAGCGCAGTCAGAGTGCGTCAGACTCCTATATCAGAGAGAGTACCTCAGTGCAGTCAGAATGCGTCAGACTCCTATATCAGAAAGAGTATCCCAGCACAGTCAGACTCCTATATCAGAGAGAGTATCCCAGCGTAGTCAGAGTGCGTCAGACACCTATATCAGAGAGAGTACCCCAGCGCAGTCAGAATGCGTCAGACTCCTATATCAGAAAGAGTATCCCAGCACAGTCAGACTCCTATATCAGAGAGAGTACTCCAGCGCAGTCAGAGTGCGTCAGACTCCTATGTCAGAGAGAGTACCCCAACGCAGTCAAACTCCTATGTAACGGACCATTTTGCACAAAAGGGGTAAAAACCGTTTAGGCGATCGGCCCCCTTTCCAGAAATGCAGACACAGCTACTGCAGAACACCAAACACACGAACCGCCAATAAGTGAATGCTCCAAACTCCCGAACGGCATCCAATATAGCACTCCAAAAGACGAACAGGAACCATACGAATTGCTGCTAGCAGACGAATAGGAAAAGCATCCAAGTGGTTTACACTCCTAGCAATCAGTCTCTATCAGCATTCAGTAAATCCCCCCAAAGACGAGACAAGGCTCCGTGTTGGGGGTCAAGCAGTGGTCTGTTTAATGAGGGCTACCTGCCCAGTATTTATGCAGGTCTCCCACCTGGTGGACACTCCCCTAGGGGACCAAATGGGAGACTGTGACAAGGGACAGACAAGCAGGCAAATAGGACACACAGTCACAATATATTCCCACAATGCATCCTGGCTTCCTCCCCTCTGCCCTGGGAGATAATTGAGAAGTAATTCAATTATCTCCCAAGACAAAGGCAAATCTCCATTATGCACGTGGGGATACTAAAACAAGCATTACTGTTAAAATACACCAGGTAAGACACATTACATTAAAACTATACATTTAACATATCCCCAGATAGTTCAGGTCTGAGCGCACATTATTAAGCGAATGGCGCTCAGACCACACGAATACAGTTTAATCGCCATGGAGCCAAAGTCTTTAATTCCACGAACAGGCTCCATGGCAGGCTATCTGGGTACTTGCACACCGAATACAATTGCAGCACTAAAAGTCCCGAATGCTCCGTTGTTCGGTTCCCGAACGGGTTTGCAGACTTCCAGCCTCAGCGGGGCTTGTAAGACAAAAGTGTCCGCTTTTGGTGTCCTGCCACTGGGTAGAACAAGCGCTGGCTACCCGGGGAGCTTCCATAACACCGCCATCGTGTGGCGGCTAGGTGTAACCGCGACCACCCAGTAATTGTCAATTAAGCTGCGGTTAACCGCAGCTTCAGGGGGGTTAATTGCCGGCACACTCCAGCTCCCAGGTAGTCTATTCATTTGTGCGGTTGTTCGGTAGATTGAATCTACCGAACAACCGGCAGAAAAGCACGAATACAGCTTTTCTGCAGGCGAAACAAAGTCTTTTAACATGGGGGCCATAGTCCAAAGGCAGCAGGCGAGCAACCAGGCTTCTCCAATGCAATGTGGCGAGATTGGTCTTGTCACATCCTATATCAGAGAGAGTATCCCAGCGCAGTCAGAGTGTGTCAGACTCCTATATCAGGCCGAGTACACCAGCACAGTCAGAGTGCATCAGACTCCTATATCAGAGAGAGTACCCCAGCGCAGTCAGAGTGTGTCAGACTCCTATATCAGAGAGAGTACCCCAGCGCAGTCAGAGTGCGTCAGACTCCTATATCAGGGAGAGTACAACAGCACAGTCAGAGTGCGTCAGATTCCTTTATCAGAGAGAGTACTCCAGCGCAGTCAGAGTGCATCAGACTCGTATATCAGAGAGAGTACTCCAGCGCAGTCAGAGTGCGTCAGACTCCTATATCAGAGAGAGTACCCAAGCGCAGTCAAACTCCTATATCAGAGAGAGTACCCCAGCACAGTCAGACTCCTATATCAGAGATAGTACCCCTGTGCAGTCAGAGTGCGTCAGACTCCTATATCAGGGAGAGTACCCAAGCGCAGTCAGAGTGGGTCAGACTCCTATATCAAAGAGAGTATCCCAGCGCAGTCAGAGTGCGTCAGACTCTTATATCAGAGAGAGTACCACAGCGCAGTCAGAGTGCGTCAGACTCCTATATCAGGGAGAGTACAACAGCACAGTCAGAGTGCATCAGACTCCTTTACCAGAGAGAGTACTCCAGCGCAGTCAGAGTGCGTCAGACTCGTATATCAGAGATAGTACCCCTGTGCAGTCAGAGTGCGTCAGACTCCTATATCAGAGAGAGTACCCCAGCGCAGTCAGAGTGTGTCAGACTCCTATATCAGAGAGAGTACCCCAGCGCAGTCAGAGTGCGTCAGACTCCTATATCAGGGAGAGTACAACAGCACAGTCAGAGTGCGTCAGACTCCTTTATCAGAGAGAGTACTCCAGCGCAGTCAGAGTGCGTCAGACTCGTATATCAGAGAGAGTAATCCAGTGCAGTCAGAGTGTGTCAGACTCCTATATCAGAGAGAGTACCCCAGTGCAGTCAGAGTGCGTCAGACTCCTATATCAGGGAGAGTAATCCAGTGCAGTCAGAGTGCGTCAGACTCCTATATCAGAGAGAGTACCCCAGTGCAGTCAGAGTGCGTCAGACTCCTATATCAGAGAGAGTACCCCAGTGCAGTCAGAGTGTGTCAGACTCCTATATCAAAGAGAGTACCCCAGCACAGTCAGAGTGCATCAGACCCCATCAGGAGAGTACCCCAGTGCAGTCAGAGTGTGTCAGACCTATATCAGAGAGAGGCACCCAGCAGTCAGAGTGCGTCAGACCCTACATCAGAGAGAGCACCCCAGCCAGTCATCAGAGTGTGTCAGGACCTCTAAGTGTCAGAGAGAGTATCCCAGCAGTCAGAGTGCGTCAGACCCCATCAGAGAGAGCACCCCAGCAGTCAGGAGCGCCGTGACCCTATATCAGAGAGAGTATCCCAGCGCAGTCAGAGTGTCAGACCCTATCAGGAGAGAGTACCACAGCCAGCAGTCAGAGTGCCAGCCAGACCTCTTACATCAGAGAGAGTATCCCAGTGCGGAAGCCAGAGGTAAAAGTCAGGACTCCCATATCAGAGAGAGGCAATTCCCAGCAGTCAGAGTGTGTCAGACTCCTATATCAGAGAGAGTATCCCAGTGCAGTCAGAGTGTGTCAGACTCCTATATCAGAGAGAGTACCCCAGCGCAGTCAGACTCCTATATCAGAGAGAGTACCCCAGTGCAGTTAGAGTGCGTCAGACTCCTATATCAGAGAGAGTATCCCAGTGCAGTCAGAGTGTGTCAGACTCCTTTATCAGAGAGAGTACCCCAGCGCAGTCAGAGTGCGTCAGACTCCTATATCAGGGAGAGTACCCCAGTGCAGTCAGAGTGTGTCAGACTCCTATATCAGAGAGAGTATCCCAGTGCAGTCAGAGTGTGTCAGACTCCTATATCAGAGAGAGTAACCCAGCGCAGTCAGAGTGCGTCACACTGCTATATCAGAGAGAGTACCCCAGCGCAGTCAGAGTGTGTCAGACTCCTATATCAGAGAGAGTATCCCAGTGCAGTCAGAGTGGGTCAGACTCCTATATCAGAGAGCGTATCCCAGCGCAGTCAGAGTGCGTCAGACTCCTATATCAGAGAGAGTATCCCAGTGCAGTCAGAGTGCATCAGACTCCTATATCAGAGAGAGTACCCCAGCACAGTCAGAGTGCGTCAGACTCATATATCAGAGAGAGTACCCCAGTGCAGTCAGAGTGCGTCAGACTCCTATATCAGAGAGAGTACCCCAGTGCAGTCAGAGTGTGTCAGACTCCTATATCAGAGAGAGTACCCCAGCTCAGTCAGAGTGCATCAGACTCCTATATCAGAAAGAGTATCCCGGCACAGTCAGACTCCTATATCAGAGAGAGTACCCCAGTGCAGTCAGAGTGTGTCAGACTCCTATATCAGGGAGAGTACCCCAGCGCAGTCAGAGTGAGTCAGACTCCTATATCAGAGAGAGTACCCCAGTGCAGTCAGAGTGTGTTAGACTCCTATATCAGAGAGAGTACCCCAGTGCAGTTAGAGTGCGTCAGACTCCTATATCAGAGAGAGTACCCCAGCGCAGTCAGAGTGAGTCAGACTCCTATATCAGAGAGAGTACCCCAGCACAGTCAGAGTGTGTCAGACACCTATATCAGAGAGAGTATCCCAGCGCAGTCAGAGTGTGTCAGACTCCTATATCAGAGAGAGTACCACAGCGCAGTCAGAGTGCGTCAGACTCCTATATCAGGGAGAGTACCCCTGTACAGTCAGAGTGTGTCAGACTGCTATATCAGAGAGAGTACCCCAGCGCAGTCAGAGTGCGTCAGACTCCTTTATCAGAGAGAGTACCCCAGTGCAGTCAGAGTGCGTCAGACTCCTATATCAGAGAGAGTATCCCAGCGCAGTCAGAGTGCGTCAGACTCCTATATCAGAGAGAGTACCCCAGCGCAGTCAGAGTGTGTCAGACTCCTATATCAGGGAGAGTACCCCAGCACAGTCAGAGTGTGTCAGACACCTATATCAGAGAGAGTATCCCAGTGCAGTCAGAGTGTGTCAGACTCCTAAATCAGAGAGAGTACCCCTGTACAGTCAGAGTGTGTCAGACTCCTATATCAGAGAGAGTACCCCAGTGCAGTCAGAGTGCGTCAGACTCCTATATCAGAGAGAGTACCTCAGCACAGTCAGAGTGTGTCAGACACCTATATCAGAGAGAGTACCCAGCACAGTCAGAGTGTGTCAGACACCTATATCAGAGAGAGTATCCCAGCGCAGTCAGAGTGTGTCAGACTCCTATATCAGAGAGAGTACCCCAACGCAGTCAGAGTGCATCAGTCTCCTATATCAGAGAGAGTATCCTAGTGCAGTCAGAGTGCGCCAGACTCCTAAATCAGAGAGACTACCCTAGTGTAGTTAGAGTGCGTCAGGCTCCTATATCAGAGAGAGTATCCCAGTGCAGTCAGAGTGCATCAGACTCCTATATCAGAGAGAGTACCCCAGCGCAGTCAGAGTGTGTCAGACTCCTATATCAGAGAG